ATACCAAAGTAAATCCCACTCTTATATATATCAATCCCTGAAATTAAAAATATATGAATAAGTGAAAGGTAAACCAATAGAGTAGAAGTAAGAAAAGATGGGGAAAAAGGAGGGAAGGGAAAGGGTGCATTGGGGACTGAAATGGAATAAATCAAATTTCACTCATGCAAGATTATGTCAAAATGACCTCAATTATTATGTACAACTATAACACACCAATAGAAGCAAAAAAGAAAAAAAATTAAAAAGTTTAAAAATTAATCTCTAGTTTTAAGTTTTAAAATGATGAAATCTCAAAGTTAACTTTGGAGAGTACTTTGTGATTAAAAATCACAAATCTTTCCATATGCATATGTGTTATTATTTAGTAAGCACTCTTTACCACCCCAGTGCCAATGCAATACTCATCATCCTATGAATGGATGCTGCCCTCTTTCAGAACTCAGATCTTTTTTTATTCCAGATCTTAAATTTAATAAAAGCACAGACATGACGCAAAGGGACACTGCTCTATCCTATTGTATGCAGTGTTGTTCTATTCTAGAACAAGACAGGAAATGAAAAAATCTTCAAATAAAAATACAGACATTAAAAAAAGAAAGAAAAAAACAATATTTGGGACATAAGAGATTTATGAATACTTAAGCAAGTGTAAAACTACACAAAATTTGTCATGGAAAGTCATACTGATGAAAAAGTTCCAAGTCCCGTGGGCTTATGAGAGGCATCTGTACAGGTCTGTGCTCTCTCAGGGAAACTTCTTTATATTCCAGTGGAAATCAAGGAGGAAGCTTTGCTTCTTTATTTTATTTCTGAGACATGTTGAAGGCAGCATCAAGCAGTAGTTGACAACTCTGTCCCTTTTGACTGCCAGGCATGCTCTTCCTCTAGCCCTTAGATGCAGAATGAAAAGTTGGAAACAACCTTTTCATTTTTGCCATTACTGAAGGGACTTTTCTTCATAGAGCATGGGAAATTATCATCACAGGAATTCTCAAGGAACTGATTGTGGTGAGATTCTTAATTCAGATATATGCATTTTCAGAGAGGATTTTAAACTATGATGTAGTGCTTAAAAGTGTGTGTGTTGTGACCAGGTACCATATTTAATACTGTGCAGGGCCTGTCAAGAACTGTGTGTACTTGAGCTAGCTTATTAATTTTTCTGGCTCACAGATGCCTCATTTCCAAGCTAAAAGAATGTGTATGCGAATGAAACAACACAGGAGAAGCCCAGAGACCAGCATTTGATACACAAAAGTTCCCCAACAAACAACAATAGCAGCTATTTTAAAAGAATCTAATCTTTGTCCAGATGGGTGGTGTGGTTAGGAGAACCTATTCCTTCAAAACTAATAAAATTAGAATTGTATTTAGATTTTATCTTCAAGTCAAATCCAAGTGACTTTGAAATGTTTCAAGTGCACATATTTGTCCTAGGTTTCCAACAGTATGTTTTTTTTCTTTTTAAATGTGTTTTTATTAATCCTTTATCTTCTAATGTTTTCCCCATCCATATAGTTCAGACTAAAATATGGAATTTTCTGAGGCCATATAACGAATGCTGATATGAGAATGTGGTGAATTCAAGTGCTCTCTACCATACTTCCCACAGTTATTGATATAGAATGTGTTATTTATTATTTCTACATCCACACATTGGCAGATGGAATGGGGAAGGACACTAAGGTAAGAAAGAGGTACTGAAGTTACAGAGTAGAGTCTTCTGATTTAACTCTGTGCATTTAACTTTTTTCTTATGTGCATTTGATGTCATGAGTAGCATTAGGTTCCTGCCTGAGAATCGTTCAGGAAAGATCACAGTGGCTAGAATTCTAAACTACTTTAATGCTAGTTGTTGTTTCTTGGTCTGTCCCTTAAAATGAGCTAAGTCAGTAAGACAACAGAAAGGAAGGCTCCTGCATTCATTGGAAATAAAGGTGGAAACAGAGATGAATTTCTTTTTTTCAAAATCCAGAAATAATAAAAGTATAAACATGGAGACATTAGGAAAATGAATATAACGACATTGAAGAAAGACAAAAAAGTACTGAAATGTGAAAGGAACATATTTTCCTGGTAGTCATGAAAAGGAATATGCTTAGAGAGAGAGAAATGAGAAATAAAACTTTTATTGGTAAATAATAATGTTGAATCAAAAAATATGGTGGATTGAATGAACTTGCAGGTAGGATAATCACCAATCAGATTTTTAAATTGTTCTTTTAATTTGTAATAATATTTATTTAGAAATCATTTATTTAGAATTATAAAGAAAATGTGACTGATACACACACATAACACACATATAAATACATCTGAACATTACTGGTTGAATAGAGTTACACAGAACTACTTACAATAATGAAGTTACTCCTAATCCCTCTTTTGGGTTTGAATGTTATAGGTGCTTCAACTTGAAACACAAATTCTGTTATTTCCAGAAGGATAAGTGGTAGAATAGGTTTTGAATAAAACGAATAAGAAGGAAACAGTGGGCAATGTGGGCAGTGCAGCACAAGCCAGCAAACTTCCCCAGGTCATCTCCCTAGGAGATAGCCTAGAGCCCACAGTTCATGCTGCCAGGGGACCCTGAGCAATTTAAGGAAGCTCCAGCATATTCAAGGCCATGAATTTCCAGAAAAAAAAGGCCATGAAAGTTTAATGAGAAAAATGGACAGAATATAATAGAATGTGAATTTAAAATTTATATCAAAACAAATGCATAAAGGATGGGGAGGGCTGGGCCATGAAATAACTGTTAATGGAAAATGTACAAAAAAGTTTATAATAGTTTAAAATTTCAATATAAGATTCTTTTAAACATTAGCATGTTAGTTTCACTTTTTGCAAATGAATATTCTTCAAATCTCATATCTTCTTTCTGAACTGTTTAGATGAAGAATCTGGTGCTGTGTTTTTAAATTTATGTGCAATTTTAAATATTCTTCTAACCATAAACAATTTATATTGTAAATTTAAAATCTCTATCATGTTTATACTTTTTCCTTACAGATTTTAAAATTCTATTTGAAATATCTGTACAAATGGGAAAAAAACATTAGAAATTTTGTTCTGTGCTAGGCACAAAGGCAAACACCTGTAATCCTGGAGATTTAGGAGATTGAGACAGGAGGATTATAAATTTAAGGGAAATTATTATCACAGGAATTCTCAGGGAACTGATTGTGGTGAGATTCTTAATTCAGATATATGCATTTTCAGAGAGGATTTTAAACTATGAGGTAGTGCTTAAAAGTGTGTGTGTGTTGTGACCAGGTACCATATTTAATACTGTGCAGAGCAATTTAGAAAGACCTTGTCTCAAAACAAACAAATAAGCAAACAAACAAATAAATAAATAGAACAGGATGTAGCTCAGTAGTAAAGCACTCCTGGATTCATAGCATCATGTGAAATTAACGTATAATAGTCTGATTTACAAAAACAGCTTACTCTTATTGAGTATTTTAGATATTTCCTCTTTCATATGATAATGCATTATCTTTTGTTTATTTGTTTGTTTTTTGGTACTGAGGATTGAACTCAGGGGCACTCGACTACTGATCCACATCCCTAGTCCTATTTTGTACTTTATTTAGAGACAGGATCTCACTGAGTTGTTTAGCACCTCATGGTTGCTGAGGCTGGCTTTGAACTTATGATCCTCCTGCCTCAGCCACCCAAGCCACTGGGATTACAGGTGTGTGCCACCACACCTGTCTTGCATTATCTTCTGTAATAAAACTTCTCCATGTCATTTAATTTTAGAATACATTTTAAGATTGGGATTCTTAGCACAAGATTATGATTCTGTAAGTATTTCAACATTGTTTGAAAGGGATTACATGAATGAGCCAGTTTCATTGCAATTTTAGTTGGCATAACTAATAAACACCTTGATTTTTAAGATGCATACTTGATTCTATGGCAATCCAATATCTAGCTTATTTATGTTTGTTGATACAGCTTAAAAATAAGGCCAACATTGATGTTTTCTACCTTCCTTTTGATGCACTCTTAGTAAAACTGTTCATAATGACCATGCACTTGATTCCTTCAGGTCAGGGAGCTGGGCCAGTGGTACTATTGCTGTTGTTCAGTAGAGAAGATGGAAGCAGGGTACTTGGTTTAAGGACACTTGGCTATTACATGATGAAGTTGAAATCACTAGCAATTTGGTAGCAGTAAATGAACAATTTTTTAATTGAATTCTTATTTGGAATAAATTCAGATCAAGAGAAACCTTGCTCAGAGGGTATAGAAAATTCCTATCTACCTCTCACTCAGTGTCTCCTAATATTATCCTCTTACATTATGAAAGGTACATCTATCAAGATGATGAAATAAACAAGGATACAGTACTCTTAATTTTAAGTAATCTTAAATAACTTTATATACACACATATATATGTGTGTGTGTGTGTGTGTGTGTGTGTGATTTTTTTCTACTACTGTGATTGTTCTGCTCTAGAAGTCTATCCATCATAACTCATTGAATTTAAGACAATTATTTTTTTTAGAGAGAGAGAGAGAAAGAGAGAGAGAGAGAGGGGGGGGATTTTAATATTAACTTTTTAGTTTTTGGTGGACACGACATCTTTGTTTGTATGTGGTGCTGAGGATCCAACCCGGGCCGCATGCATGCCAGGTGAGCGCGCTACCGCTTGAGCCACATCCCCAGCCCAAGACAATTACTTTTAAAAGATTTGAAATCATAAACCATGAGCACACTATTTTCTCCATTGCCAATATGTTGACACTAATTTTAAGTATTTCTTTATTTGATTAATGGAAGAGTTGGTTTGTTTAGATTTGATTCATGTTTCAATTATTTCAATTCTAAAATGGTATTGCTTTTAGAGCACCTCAGATAAAGTGGAGAGAATGAGAAAACTTGCCAAAAATGTCCAGTGCACTTAGTGATTGCTAATTAACAATGATATTCCTTTTGCAGACTTTCCAGTGCAGAGGGACACGCTGACCTCAGCCCACATTCAATGGAGAATCCAAACAACGTGACTGTATTCATCCTTTTGGGCATTACAAAGAACCCAGAGTTGAGGAGAATACTCTCTGGCTTGTTTCTAGTCATGTATGTGGTCACAGTACTGGGAAACCTCCTCATTGTGCTAACCGTAAGTGCAAGTCAGAGTCTGAAGTCTCCCATGTATTTTTTCCTTACTTCCTTGTCGCTCATGGATGTCACCTACTCTTCCGTCATTGCCCCCAAGTTGATTGTGGACTCCCTCTCTGAGAGCACCACCATCTCCCTCAAAGGCTGCTTGACCCAACTCTTTGCAGAGCATTTCTTTGGTGGTGTGGGGATCATCCTGCTCACCGTGATGGCCTGCGACCGCTACGTGGCCATCTGTAAGCCCCTGCACTACACCAGTATCATGAGTCCCCGAGTGTGCTGCCTGCTGGTGGGAGGGGCCTGGCTGGGCGGGTCCATGCACGCAACCATACAACTTCTTTTCATGTATAAAATACCTTTCTGTGGCCCCAATATCATCGACCACTTTATGTGTGACTTGTTTCCATTGTTGAAACTGGCCTGCATGGACACCCACGTCCTGGGTCTCTTGGTCATCCTCAACAGTGGGGTGATGTGTATGACCATCTTCCTTCTCCTACTGGCCTCTTACATGGTCATCCTCTGCTCCCTGAAGTCTTATAGCTCTGAAGGGAGGCACAAAGCCCTCTCCACATGTAGCTCCCACCTCACTGTGGTGGTGTTATTCTTTGTGCCGTGTATTTTCTTGTTTGTGAGGCCTGTGGTCACTTACCCCATTGACAAGGCAATGGCTGTGTCCTTTACCGTTGTTGAACCCATGTTAAATCCCTTGATCTACACCTTGAGGAATGCAGAGGTGAAACATGCCATGAGGAAACTATGGGTGAAATGAGGGACCCTGGGTGGTCACTGAATTACAGACCAAGGAACAAGTTTGCCTCTCAATGCCAGGGGAGTGGTAGCCTGTCCATAACTGCAATCCATTCAACCCAGGCAAACAGATGCTTTTCTTAAATTTTAGTTTATTTATTGGTACCTTTTGGTTACACATGACAGTAGAATCCATTTCTTAAAAAACAAGCCAAGATGTAAAGATACTACAGTGTCCTTTCCAACCAGAATATACCTCCAGGACCTCACACAGGTTATTTTGTACTAACCCATCTTCTCCACAAGCAACTAGGCACAATTTCAAATTAAATTCTATTTTGAACAACCCTAATCTTCCCAAGTTTAGGGTTTTTAATTAATTAATTGATTTTTTTCTTTTTGAGAGGATCTTTTCCAAAGCCTTTGCTTGGTTGGGTCCCTGACTTTTTAAAATTTTCTTTCCTATTTCCAAATGAACTCCTACTTGAGAAGAAAAGAGGGTATTTCCTGGTGACTTTCCCCAGAATGTCCCTTCAGCTCTCCTCCACTCTCCACCCACGTTGTACTCTCAACATCTCCAATCATAACTAGAACCTGAAAATACTTCTCGAGACCCATATTCTGTTTTTCCCTCCCCCAATCATAATTCTTGTCAATGGAGGGATTTCTTTTATTCCTTTGTGCATAGCCCCAGGGGTTCGAACACTCCTGGTCACCCAGTATGTGCTTAATAAATATTACTGGATGATTCCAACTCCACAAAAGACTTAGGAGTTTAAAATATTTTAAAATAAACACAAATAAGTGAGGAATACAAATACTTATAAGTACTTATAAGTTAGAATCTCCCGAGTTGGCACACTTCCAGTTGTCCCTTTAGACATTTTTTATTTGTTAGATTGCTTTTATACAGAGGCCATGAGTATGTCATGTAGATTTTCAACTACTTCTAGCTGCTAGTTGTCAAGTCAAGTGCTTTAAAATCAAGTATCTGTATCTTGAAGTTATACATTCTTTATGGTACTAAAGCAACTGTATATGCTTATTTATTTTATTGGTTCTGTTTAGTTATACATACCTAGACCTATTTTATTAACTATGGGAAAATGATTTTGTGTTACCTTCAAGATGTGTATATTCAAATCCAATGATGTTCATTTTCTCTTAAATTCTTCTATGAAAAATACGAAAAGACACCTATGATGTTTCAAGTCACCTCCCTTGATGAGGTATATGGGAAGACTAAGGTCCTAGCATGATTTACCAAACTGTTTTCTTATTAAAACAAATTTGCACGATAAATGTGAAGACAATAATTTCAGCATGAGTTATGGTTTCAAATAAAGCAACACTTAACTCAAATAGTTTTATTTTGAAATAAAATATGTTATGGGCAGTAAACATGTAGCTTTATTAGTCCCCAACTGTATTTGTAACTTCAAGATGCATTGAAAGATATTTGTTGAGTTTGTAGAAAGTTCATATACTCTACTAGGAGCTGGGGTACAATAATGAATAAGAAAACTCATGTTCCTTGTGTCTCAGATCTGATATGCTAGTGCAGAAGACAGACAACCTATGAAAATGAAAATAAAAATCATAGAAAATTACTCGCTCAGCTAATTGTAATGAAATAGTGGAAAGGTGACTGGGGAACTCAAAGGAGGTGGGCAAGGGAAATTTCTGAGAGGAATTTCTAAGCTGAAATCTGAATGTGGGAAGAACCACCCTCAGACATACCCATGGGAAGGGAAAATGTTATGCAGAGAAAAGCCTGAAGTGAAGAATATCAGGTGATCCGTGCACTGCAGCCGGGATAGGGCTGTGGTACATGGTGAGAGATAAAAGGCAGAGAAGGCCCTGGTAGACAATGTTATTAGTTTTTAATCCTTATGTTAAAACAGCAGTGGCATCAAAGAGACTCAGACTACAATGGAGAAAATTGGAGAGGACACAGGGTAGTAACTAAGGAAGAAAGGGGGGTCACAGGAAGAATTTTTTTAAGATAAGAGATTGATTCTTTGCTACTGTAAATTATCCGGTGAAAAGGAAAATGGAAATGAAAGAAGAACATTAAAGGAAGTTTTAGATCAGTGCCCTTGTGTAAGCAACAAGGAGAAACCTATGTCCAGGTCAAGTGGCTTCACTGGCTTTGAAGTGGGACACAGATGATTCCTGTACAGTCATTGGTTGGACCTCAGTGGACAGTTACTGGCAGATCAGTAGACATAGCTGTTGGGGTTGGTAGACATTCTTTTTAAATTTAATTTTTTTTTTAAAGTTATAGATGGAACCAATATCTTTATTTCATTTATTTTTTTGTGGTGCTGAGGATGGAACCCAGTGTGAGGCAAGTGCTCTGCCACTGAGCCACAACCCCAGCTCCAGTAGTTCTTTCTCGAGGGATTAAGTTTTCTCAGTGAAATAGGAGGCAAGTCCACCTAAGAGTTAATGTTTTAGTCAGCGTTTTCATTCTCTCCATTGCAGCAAAACTGAAGACATCTCTATGTTGTCTCTCATTTCTCTCTTTCTATTTTTCGACAAGTCCTTTTCTGCCATGCTTCATTATCTAAGGCTTTCTGAAAGTCTCTTCCCTGGAATAACAAATGACCCCTACGTCATTAAATTTAACAGCCATTGCTCATTTCTCACCTATAAAATAAATCCATTTGCATTTTTTAACCAAGTATTTTTGACATACTTCCTTAACAAGAATAAGATTCTCAAATCAATATCTCCAGCCTAGAATTATTTCCTGATGCTTTGATGTAGAAATCCAATTGTCTCCATGGCATTCTCACTGGAAGAGATAATTTCCCACACTGAACAAGTCCAAGGCTGTCCTTCTGGTCCTACCTTTATCCCCAAGTGTATTCTACCTATAACATTTTCTGTCAATTGATGGCACATTTGATCTGTCTGTATCACATATAATATCCAGTCCATCAGCAAATCATGTGGAATTAACTTGAAACATATATTCCAAATTCAACCACTTCTAATCACTTTTAGAGCTATCTTTAAAAGACTCAGAGATTCTGGTTACTGGAAAAAGGAGTGAGAAATTTTAATCAGGTCTTAACTGGCATCCTAGCCAATGCCAGGTTAGAGGAAAGGGTCACATAAAGAAAGAGAGACATGTCTGACAAAATTATGACAAAAACAGTGCCAGAGGGGGAAATCATTCTGGGTTCAGCTGAACACACAACTGCACAGCACTGTGTGAGAAATACTACACATTTCCCATTCATATACGGAGAACTGTGGCAGGGAGCAGTCTTATTGGGGATATCTAAGTCTTCATCTTAGGAAAGCATAATCCCCTGCATCTTTATCTGTCTTGGAGAAAAAACCAAATACTGTCATGGAACAATGACCTTTTAGCAAGACTTTGGAATAATTTATACAGTGAAATCATTGCAAGTCTAAGGTCTGCAAAGATTTCTGCCCAACAGAGGGAGTTTACAGGCAAAGCTCATTCTGTTGCCCAGGAGCACAGTGCTTCTCTAAACACACTGAAGACTCTCAAGTTTATACAAAGTGCCCTCCCCACTTCTGGCTAGGTTCAGTCTGCTGTTTATGGGATGCCTTGGCACTAACCCCTCTGCAACACAAGGGGGCCCATGGGTTCCCAGACCAGTCACTGAGTTTTCAGAGCCACCTGAGTCCTATTTTGGTGCAGACTCAGGGGTATTGCTCTTTTGATCTTTCTGCTCACCAAGAAATATGTGAGCATACAAAACTGCTCCCTGTGTCCATGTGGTTAATGTAAGTCTAAAGTCTGCAAAACACAATGCCCAGCAGGGAGAAAAGGGATTACTCTTCACACCCTGAAGCTTACTGTTATTGAATATTTTAGTTGTTCACTGTTTCTCATGATAGTGCCTTATCTGTAACAAAGCTTCTCCATATCATTTCAATTTTAGAATAAACTTTTAAGTTTTGGGTTACTAGTACAAAATTATGATTCTGGAAGGATTTACCAACATGTTTTGAAAAGGATTATATGAATGAACCAATTTCATTGCAATTTTAATAGGTGTAACTAATAAGTAGCATGATTTTACAGATACATATTTTATTCTTATGCTAATTCAATTTCTGGGGTACTTGCATTTGTTGATACTGCTTAAAAATAATGCCAACATTGATAATTCCTATCTCCCTTTTGGTGAATTCTTAGTAAAACTGCTCATAACAACCATGTGCTAGGTTCGTGCAGTTCAAGCAGCTGGGCCAGAGGTATTATTGCTATTGAAGAATAGAAGAAAGAGGAGCAATGTGATTTGTTCAAGGACACTTGGCTACTAGATGATTAAGTTGAAACTGCTAGCATTTTGGTAGCAGAAAATGAACAATTTTTTAATTGAATTTTTATTTGGAATAAATTCAGATAAAGAGAAAACTTGATAAAATAGTATAGAAATTTTCTGCATACCTCTATTTCCTAATATTCTTGAAAGTACATCTGTCAAGATGAAACAAACGTGGATATATTACTCTTACCTAAATACCAAATTCTACATATATTTATGTTATTTTTCTACTGCTATTATTTTTCTGCTCTAGGAGTCATAACTCATTGAATTTAGATAATTACTTTTAAAAGTTTGAAATCATGAACCATGAACACACTATTTTCTCCGTTGCCAATATTTAGACACTAATTTTAGGTATTTATTCATTAATGGAAGAGTTGGTTTGTTTAGATATTATGCTTATTATTTCAATTCTAAATTGGTATTGCTTTTAGAGCACTTCAGATAAAGAAAGTGGAGACATAAAATGTTTTATTAGATTCATATAGGACTTTGTCTTTCTTCCTACCACCAGCCCCTCTTGGCTTTTTTTTTTCTTTTTTACAATAAGGTCATCTGAAACAGACATAAGTGCATGTGGGTCTAAAACCACAGTAATTTAAGATCTATCAAATTTTAAAACATTCAGAGCCTACCAAGGACATTTAAAGTTGTCACACACTTAAAAATAAAATTTTCACTATGAATATCCAAAGAAAATATA